GGGCGATGGTAAAGGCTGCGTGTGTGCGTGTACGCAGGGGAGGAGGGTTGACGTCTGCCTGTACTACTGGGGTATAACCTGTGCTTATCTCTTCTGTACATGTCAATATTCAAACATATCCATGAATAAAGCACACATGCATTTTCCTGACCCCCTCCTTGCTCCCGTCTGCGATGCCGGGTTGTCCGTGCCCGCACGCCCAGCTCACCGGTCCCGTGCCGTAAGGGCAGCTGGAAGAACTCGGGGGATGTTTTGGGGGGGGGGTGTTGGCAGAGCGGTGGGGCTCAGCTGCCCCATGCTTGGCTGGAAACCCAGCTCTGATCTGCTGCCTACCAGCAAGAAGGGGCAGGAGGTGAAAAACCATCTCTGCTGAGATGGAAAGACATCAGTGCCACCCACAATGGGACACGGACCCACGCGAGTCCTGGGGCTGCTTGTGCTGCAGGCGGGGGTGACACACGCCAAGCTTTGGGAAGAATTTGGGGGAGATTGAGCTCAAAGCTGGTGCCAGCGCAGGAGGAGGGAGGCATTGCAAGACGTAGCGAGGATGGGAATAATCGCACCCGCAATTAGTGGCACGTGGAGCCACTTATGCTGCGATGCCACCACGTAACCCGGGTGGGTGGAAATAACTGGGGGCGGTTGGTGCTGCACCCTCCCGCAGGGCACAGGAGGAGGGGAGATGGAGGAGGAGGGAGGGGGGGGGTTCATGCCAGCCGGGGAGACTTCTGTTCATGCCACAAACATCTGTGAGTTATTTTTGGCAACTTTAAAAAAAAAAAAAAGAAATCACAGGGAAATTGATTAGAGGCAAATTGAATGTTTTCTTGCCAATTTTGGGTGAAAAAAAAATTCTGGAAAACAGATAGATATTAAATTCATACAAAAATACCGAGTGAAATTCAAGTTGGTTCCTAAACACAAAGGGAGTTCAAGGTCGAACCCAGAAACGTAGCACCTTTTCTTCCTGAAAATCGTGTTTGTCTTCATGTGTGCACGAAGCAGCTGAGGATGCAGAGGGGGAGCGAAGCCTGAGGGTTTGGGCCAGACTTGGGACATTCGTCAAAGCCCTTTCCTTCCCCACAACACGTGGGCCGTTTTGTCCGCTGGGGTTTTGCCGACCCGAAGAAAATTTCCTGCGAAAGTTCCAGCCGGTTGAACCTGAAATGTGCTGTAAAAACATGGCAGGTTTGATGTATTTTCCCAGCTTCTTGGCAGGTAGTTGCGTGACCAAGGTCGGCACCTGAAAAGCTGGTGGGGCTGGTCTGGGGACAGGGGGACAACCACCAGAGCCACCAGGGCCAGTGTCAGTGGTGTCGAATCATGGAATCGTGGAATCGTTTAGGTTGGAAAAGACTTTTAAGATCACCGAGTCCAACCGTCAACCCAACACCCCCATGCCCACTAAACCGTGTCCTGTGAAGGAGACCACAGGACTCTAGATGGGACAACATGTGCTGGTTTGATTGATACTGGGAGACACGTGGGACTGGTTAGGACACCCTTGCTCTGGGTCATAGCAACTTGCTTCAAGCAAGCCTGGAAATCACCCTAAGTTTAGGGTGAAGAGATTTTTGGAGCAGGAGCACCGCTAATAGCTAGAGGGGGCTTTGCCAGACCCTCACGTCTATCACATCTCTGGGACTGGGCATGGTTTTAGGGGGGCACTGGCTGTGCCCACAACAAAACTGAGCCCCACTCCCTCCTCCAACCAGGGATATCAGATAAGGACAAACGCTGAAGCAAGAGCAGGTGAAGTGATTTTCCCCAATTCCCAGAGAAAAAGTCCTACAACCTCCAGAGCCCCCAGGGCAGAGAAGAGCCCGGGCATCTCCAGAGGCTCGGAGGAGAGACCCGTGGGCAGGATCCGATGGAGACCAAGGATCCTCCTCGTGCTGCGACTGCAGACGCAGCACAAGCAAAATCCTGCAGCTGATGTACAACCGCTGCGAGGGAACGTTTAAAGCCGAAACAATTTACCATCCGTTATCTCCATGCAAACGGTGCTAATGTGCTGATAGGGGTGGATGCATCTCGCCTCGGTTATTAAAATGTTGTCTTTCCATGCCGAGTGTGGAAACGACGGATGTTAGCCAAAGGGAAGCGCTGCAGAATTAGCTCTGACATGAAAAATGTTCAAAGCGTTTCTTTTTCTTTTTTTTTTTTTTCCTAAGGAGAAGTGGAAATGATTTCTGGTGGGAGCAGGGATCCCAGGGAACATGTCAATGGAAATACTGCCAGTCACACTGTCAGAGGCACGGTGTGGCTGCAGACTGGAAAGCAGACCTGATAAAACAGTCAGCGAGCTGCTGGTGGGACAGATGGAGAAACGCAGACACCAGAGTTATCTCCACGCTCTGCTTTTAATTCCCCGTCACAATGATGCTTTTTGATCAGCTGTCACAACCCAGACCTTACCGCTTAAAACTCTGCTTCCAAACTAAATTCGGGGCTCAGCATGAGGTCCAGGAGAGATTAAATCCCATCCTCCCGCGGCATCACTGGTCACCACCGGTGGGGTGAGATGAGAAACAGCCCTGGTCCTGCAGGCTGCGTGCACGTCGAGCTGCACTCTGGGCTTCTCACCAGCGGCAGGGCGATAAAAGCAGGGGAGCGGGTCGTTATCCTCTCCGTTAGAGCCAGAGTGGCCAGAAGCACTTTTGGAAGCGTCTTTTGGCTTAATTCCCTGCAGATGTGGCTTCTGGGAGATGCTCGGGAAGGTCTGAGGCGGGGGGGGACCCAGGAACACAGAGAAGCAGAGGGGGAAGGAAGGGTCTGGTCGTGAATCTCAGTGTCGGATGTTGCTCTTTTATTTGGGGACAGATCTTACTTGCCCTAAGATGTCCCTAGTGCAGAGCTCGTCACTGAGTCACTGGAGTCACCGAGGAGAAAACAGCCCTCCAAGGCCACCATGACCTGACCTCGGTATTGGCCATAGAGCGATGATGGGTGTCCCAGAATCGTGTGACCGAGGGTGTCGGGGCTATCTGCGTTGCAGACACAGTTCAGGGAGGTGTTGCTGTTCCCAGCCACCCCTGCAATGGGGAACACTGGGACCTCAGCCCACCTCTAACTGATGGTGATACCTGGGGCCTGAAGAACCGCCAGCCAGTAAACTCATCAGCAGGTCCCATCGGTCATCTTATTAAAAGATATCCCCCCCACCTACTTTAGCTTATGCCTTTGCAAAAGTCTCCTGAGTGTTCATTTTGTCACTCCAGCCCCTGCTTCGTTGCTACTTAATGAGTTCAGAAACCAAAAACCCCAAGGAGAAACACGAGAACCTCTGCAAATTATTTTTGCCCAAATGGCAGGCTAGGTGTTAGCTATGGAGCTCTGGCTCATTTGCACAGCTCTCTTTTCTCCTCTCTTCCCATTAAGGGTGGAAAAAAAGCAAATGTTGGTGTTTTCACCAGACCAATAGACAATTTTACTACCAACCAGCGATGTGTAACCCATCCAGAAGTTGCCCCACCTGGGTAAGGAGAACCACCTCCCAGCCTCCAGTCCAGGCTTTCTTTAGGGTGGTTGAATTCAATTGAATGCTCTGTAAAAAGACTTCAAATTGCCTCCCCTCTCTCTGTAGATGATTGATACTTAAGCCTCGTCGAAAGAAAAGCTGCGTGGCAAATACCTCTCCGGCTCCTTACCCAACGGCGTTCATTAATGATAGGTGACAGCGAAGAGCGTTGTCAGAAAGCCTCCGTGCTCTCGTCCACTCCTTCCCTGCAAACCTCTTTTCTTTGCTACAGAAGAGGAAAAATCAGAGCAGGGATGAAATATGGCCCCAAACCTCTACGTTTTATCCCGCTGTCCGAAATGAGCTTAAACTAGCTTTCGAACCGCTGCCCCCTGCCCACTTCATTTCAAGTCTGGACACACCACGCTGTGCTTTCAGACTGGCATGCTCGCTCAGCTCGGCAGCAATTTCTGAGAATTGGGCTTTGGCATCCAAGTTTAATGCCATGGGATGAAGTAGCACAAGTGTCTTAGGAGACGGCGATGACTGAAACCTTCATGGCTCATAAATGCCAGGTTCAACTCTGCTTCATCTCAGCAGTGCTTAATTTCAAAGCTGAAGAGCGACATAAAAATAAATGGAGAACAACGGATTGCGTCTTGGCAGGGATCTGTTTTTGGATGCCGGGTGTGCTGCACGCGGGCTTCCAAGGGGTGGGAGAGGAGAGGTCACCTCCGACTTTGCTCTCCTAGCTTTTGCGTGCATCTGAAACACCAGCTGGCACCAACATTTGATAAGGTTGCAAAATTATTCGCAAAACTCTTTGGATGATGCAGTCTCCAGGGGTGTCAGATTTTTCTCCTCTGATTCAAAGGAAGGAGCGGTTTAGTGGAAAAATTAGCAGTAAGAAAGGGAAGAGACTGAGATTTTCTACTTCTTGGGCTTATTTAAACCCTGAACGCAGACGCTCTGAGCTTTGGGGCAGGAATACAGTTGCCGAACCAAATAAAGACCCGCCCTATCACGACAGCAAGGACTCACGACCCCAGCGTCAAGGAGGTTGGAGCAAATATATTCCCTCTCCAGCCCTGACCATCCCAGGTGACCCGTACAGAGGACGAGCCCCTTTTTCTCTGCGATAAAGACTTTGACCCCTCTGTAGGATGCTCTTCCCTTCCACCCCCCTTCAGAGACAGCCGTGGAGAAGAGGAGGGAGCGGAGCTTCTCTAAGGCACCTTAGGGAAGACGTAGGCGAGGGCGATGGGTTTGGGGGATCGCAAGGCGGCGTGCAGACACAGCAGCTACCCCCCGTCCTTCGGTGGAGGACCCGACCTCTTTTTCCTCCTCCCAAACTCGAAAGCCGGCACAGGACGGACAGAGCCCGCTCACGGAGTCGCGAACACCTCGAGATCCAGCGCTGTTGTGGTAGAAACTCACCCTCAGCCCAGGCAGGAGTCTTCAAAAACATCTTGAGTTATTTCCTCCCCCCATTTTAAGAAAGAGGGGGGGAAAAGAAGAAGGAAAAGCAGGGGAAAACCAATTTAACCAGATCATCTACTTTTTATTTCAGAGGAAAGATTTGCATTATTTACTTTTATTTATATACATGTACTTCACATTTGTATTTAAAATGCACAGACCTCCCAATAATTTTCTCGTTCCTGCTTTAAATTAGCTGTTATTTTACAATACAAAAAATTATACCAAAAACTGCAGTCCTAAATGTGTGTATGTATAACACCCACAACCCCCGGCAATGAAATAGTTTACAATACTTGCTCATATTTACATATGAATGCAATAAATGCTAAATTATACATATTAACAAACTAAGCTCAAGTCTGAACACAGATAAGAATCGTAAATAATTACAGAACAAAGAAAAAAATCCAGAATACAATTAATTCAAGGATCTTAGTGTAAAGAACATTTATTGTGCACAAATTTCAGAGTAATATAAAACTCTATTTTTATTTTCTTTTTGCTTTTTTTTAAAAAAAAAATAATGGACTGACATATGTTACACTCCTCCACAATTTTTAATTTTTTTTCTTCTTCTTTCTTCTGGTGATGTTTGTGGAATCAATGATAAATGTAGAGGAAATATGTAAAGAACTATAGTACCTGGAAGACGCACAAAAATAGTCCACGTGTAGTGTTAGAACGAAATAATAAACTGAACAAAACCTGCCCTGATGCAGAAGCAGAAAACCCCAGCACATCCACATTATTGTAGTATTCCTAGCAATGGAAACTAATTTAATTTAAGCAGCTACCAACAGAAAGAGCGTGAATTTGACTAAAATTGCCAACAACACATCCGAAAATGAGAAACGCACACCTATCCCTCCCTTCCCTTTGCTCCCGCATCCCTGAACGCTCCGGCGCGCATCTGCCAGTGGGACTTTTCCATTTAAAACACGCACGACTCTCCCAACCTGCTTTTGCAGCTTCGCTCCGGCGGCTCCGAAAACCCCAAACCCCCTCCCTCCCTTTCCCCTACGGTATTCCCAAATGAAGATAAAAAGGAAACGGGAAAAGAAGAGACATCGGCAGCTTACTGCGAGTTGGATGGATGAGTTTAGAAGTCGCTCCTGGCACGGAGGGTCCGTTCTTTGCTTTCTCGCAAGCTCAGTGCCGGCAAATCCCTGTTTGCAGGGAAAAGGGTTTTGCAGGTTCAAAGATGGAGCTGATGCTCCGACCCTAACTCGGGGTCTCGTGGAAAAGAAAAAGCAGCTGCTAACATCGGGAGCAGTTAAGGACAGAGAAATCAGCCTCATCTTTGCGGCACTGGACCTTCGGCGGGTCATGGGGAAAGCCTCAATTTTTATTTCAGCCTCTCGAGTGAGGGTATTTCATCAAAAGCTCATTTCAGCTTATTTAGGGCCAAGCAAGCTGAGCTGCCATTTTAAAACCACACTATAAGCCCAGCGACTACGTATTTTGGTAAACGCTTGCTGCAGGGAAAATGATGTTTCTGAGCAATATTTAGTATACAAACTACCCCTAAGAAGCGTGTATCTGCCAACAGGGCCTGTCATGCTTTTATGGTACCATACCATCAAATTTTGCTACATTATACGCTATGACTTTATGCTAATCACAGACATTACCCCATCATGTATAGCTTTATTTTGGCAATTTCGATACAGCACATTTTAAGCCCAGGGAGAGTGGCAATAACTCAAAGTTGTGTCTCATAAATCTTCTTGTATCCAACACCTTGACCCATGCTGTGGCAGGGTCTCCTGTCACTCACGCTACAACAGTCCAGAGAAAATCCTGGGCTAAAAAGAATGGAAAACGGTGCACCAAAAAAAAATATATGTGATTTGGAGATCCAATGGCACTGTTGCTTTCTAGAATAAAAGGGCTACAACATTTCTGATTTTTAAATTTTTTTTTTTTTTTTCAAAAGGCTACTCTCAAAGAATAGAATTGTTCTGAGGGCTGAGACCTTGAATGCTGAATTTCAGCCAGTTATAAACGCTTGAAAATAGTGATTTTGAATGGAAATCGCTGGCACAATCTTAATGGTAGAGGCTTAAACTGCTGACTTAATCCTCCAAGTAATGACTACTTTAAGTACATTTATTACTTGTCTTCAAGCGTTTTTTTTTCCCCCTTTCAAATGGAAGAGCTGTATTTTACTGCGCTTATACATTTAAGTGAAATGCATTTGAATACATAAAAGTCAAGTTATGCCTCCCTGCTTTATACTGCAAGATATCACGAATATAATTTGATGTTTCTTTAAAGCTCTGGAAAGTTATCTAATACTCATCATATGAAGAAGTTATTAAGACAAAACTCATACATCATTTAAAATGCATCAAAAATACATTCAATATTTTTCTGGTTTATATACACTTTAAATCTTTCAATGTTCTGCACGCTACTGTATAGTTTATGTACAAGTGCAAAATTGGTGTGTTATTTTTCATTTATTTACAGATTCTCCCATGAAATAAGGTTGCTCTTCCCCCGCCCTCACCTCCAAAAGAAATAAACCCACAAATCCTTCACTTTTGATATTGGCCTGGTGATAAACCACCGACAATTCTTCTTCCCCCCATCCATTCCCACCTTCGTCTCTGTTTTACCTTTAAGTTGGGATGAAACTGTTTGCAGCAGAAATATGTATGAGAGTTCTCTTTTTCCCTCATCAATATGGAGATAAGATGCAGAGCAGAGCTACATCCTAAAGGAGCTGTTTCATTTTATTTATATAAATAAGTCTTGTTCCTCTATTTACATTTTTTGGTTCTGCTAAACCTCAAAGTTTGATCATTTTTGCTCGTCTTTCCAAGATCTGACACCTCACTTTGTGGCTACACTTCTGGGCACGCTCCACCATAAGCTTTTGAGACCAGACAACCCAGCTCTCCAGGGGAAAAAAAAAAAAAAACAAACCACATTTACATCTTTTTGTTAACATAAAACTACATCACTCCTCCAGGCCTATTGTTCTGAAAGCTGTTTCTGTTCAAGAAAACCTAAGCAACAACTTTTAAGCACCTGCTTAAGTGCTGTCCTGAATATGGAGACTTAAGCACAAGAGCTTTCTCAAGTTGGGTTGGCAGTTCTCCTCCCCAAAAAAGCGTTGGAGAAACAAGACGACGACATCTCTGAACATGAGGATGTGCATCACGACCGAAAACAGGTAAAGTAATAACAGGGGAGGGATTTTAGTCCAGTATTATTTCTCTAGTTCAGGTTAGCCTTATACACATAGGAAGTTAGAAAATATTTTCAGGAGATGAATCTGTCTGAGGTAATCTGTGCATCAGTTAAAACTTAAATTGCCTAAACCCCTTCAATTCTAAAGCACAAAGCTCACCCCTTTCTATCCCATAATTTCTTCTCCCCAGAGGGCAGTTAACTTCTAGTTTAGAAACGGATGCATTTTTTTTATATATATATATAAATATATATATAAAAATACACACACACACGTGTATATATATAAAATGCATTTTTTCGACAATATTTTTTCTGCAGTCCCATTGTATTTATTAAATGACACATTAAATCAGAATTATAATCCACCACTGTCTTTAAACCAGCAGGCTGTCCCCCATCACTGCCGTCCAGACACGCACAGCAATTCATGTCTTTATTGCGATGCCACCGCGCTCCAAAGAGCTTCTTTAAAATACATGGTTAAAAAAACAAACCAAAACCAAAAATGAGTGGCTGATATGTGATCGATCACCAAAACATGCACAAAAAAAAAAAGACGCAGTTACTTGGGTTTCGTTTTGGAAAAAGGGTGCTACCTGGCCAGAAGACTCAAGAGCACTTTCCTTCGCTGCCCTCGATTTGTTAGTTCTCCATTTCATAAATACTAGATGTCCTCATCAGAAACCAGCAACTTGGCGACCTGAATGAAACTGCACTTACTGTGATTAGCCAACAATTACACGCCTCGTTTGGCACCTTCACGTAACATCTTCCTACCGGCTTCAACATCACAACTTTGCGTGGCCCCGGCACTGCGCCACGCTCCAAAATCGAGGGAGACATCGGGCACTGGCATGTGCAGACTGGATGGGTCAAGTCCAACCTTGAACCTCAAAACATAATTCCAACTAGTCAGAGTACCTGAGACGGTTTGATACGTCCCCCAAAAGCCAAGCCTTAACTTTGCTGTTTGCAAGTCCCTTCCTTTTCACCAACGAGCCACGTCCTTCAACGTCTACGAGAGTTCAACCCCAATGGGAAACCTTCTTCAATGTCTACGAGAGTTCAACCCCAATGGGAAATATCAGTAACTGATCGTGTAGAACTCAAACCTGTGGCCAAACGAAGCTGCTCTCCTTGCTTTTTATTTAAAGTTCTTTTTTACTCCATCCTCAAATGATCTGGCACCTGGAGTGTTGCTTTTTGCACCCTGTAAGGAGACAGAGCAAACCTTTCTGCTGAGGAGCGATGGCTCTGAGCCCCAGCACAGCTCAGCTCCCATCCAGAAGAGTGGCAGGAGGGAAGGGGCAGGGAAAGAGGCCAAACGGGCAGAGAAAAAATCAGAAGAAATATAATGTATCTGACCTGGAACACAAACTGCTTCTATTAAAAGAGCTGGTGAAACCAGGAGTTGTCTTATGAGATACTGAAACTCTACTTTCCCTCCAGATATTTCCCATCTGGTTGAGTAGTTTTTTGGTCAGGAAAATGCCATTTTCCCCTGACTGCACGTAATATATTACAAAGAACACAGATTGCCTTGGGTGACCATATATATATATATATCTGTGTGTATATATATATTAAAAAGGAATTTAATTATGTTGAAAAGAAATGTGTGTAGCAGTCTCCTCACTCCCTAGATCTGTTCAAGTCTAGGCACTTGTGTGTGGTGTACTCCAAGCAGGTTAAGACTATGTAAACACTGAGTCCTTCAAAAGCAACATTCAACTTCTCCAGGTATTGCATGTGGTCTGAGCAACATGCAACATCAACCTTTAAACCACCCCGGCTTTTGCGTTCCTGATGTTCTGGACCATGATGACTACAAAAACGCTGTATCTGGAAGAGAGTTCCACTTAAAGAATGAGGGAATAAACATATAGTATTAAATGAAAACAAAGGATGAAGATGCTTTGAAGATTAATAGTAGTGTTTATGTGTTGAGAGCTGACACCTGTAAACACTGCATCTTTTTCTTTTTGTACAGTTTGATAAATACATGAACTACAAAGCACTTTCCATGTATAAACCTGAGTGTCATTCATATTGGACTACTGTTCTATTTACACTGACCATGAATGGTGGTGATCGGATGTTACTGGACCTGCAATAAAATTATTTTACTTTAAACTTCAAGAAAACAAAGGAGCAATCTGAAGCCACGTGTCAGTAAAACTTAAGTGGAGCAGTTGTCAAACAAAGCCAACTATCACGTAGATGAGAGAAAAAGTTGGGTTCAAGGAAGTTGTGTTTTTCTGAGTGCTTCTAGTCTCTTGTGACACAACTTGTAAATCCTTCTCCTCCTCCTCCTAGGTATTACTTTTCCATTTTGTTTAAAACCCTAAACAGTTTCTGATGTCCATGCATCAAATACAGGTTCCTGGCTGTGCAGGGGGCTGCTGTTTCCGATTTCGTATTGCACCCGATTTCTCTTTGTAGGCAATTGGCATCTGTTGCGAAATGTCCACCAGTGCACTGGCCACTGCAAGACCTGAGGCAACAAAAAAAAAAAAAAACCAGTCACGGAACAAAATAGTCACAGAAACAAATCCTTCCGCCACAGCCGAGAAAAACCCTCCAAGCCATAGAGTGAATATAATTTTTTGAGTTCTTCTTAAAAAAAGCCAACTAGAAAAGCATTTTGGCTTAAGAGATTAAACTCTAGCGGCTATTCTGAAATAAGCTTTTAAATACAGCATGTTTTATTGAAAGCAACTGCAGTAGAAAAAGCTGGAAATAAGAAGTCTGGGTATTAATGGATGTGAAACCCATAATATTGAAGGGAAGTGTCTTTCTCTGCACCAGTAGATGTGCTAGACTAAATCCTCAAAGCACACGTGCATGGATGTTTCACTGCGCTTCCCGGACACCCATCATTTCTGCAACCTCCTCCCGGCAAATCCACAGACTAACCACTATTGGCCATCTGGGATTTAGTTCAACACGGCTCACAACCAAACCACCCCATCTCAAACCCAGCTAATACTTTCTTATTAATCCTCCGCTTCACCATGCTCACGAGGCACTGGAGAAACCCCAGTTAAATCGCAAACCGCCCAGGAGATTATGTCTCGGTGCCCTGACATCAGGTTTAAGTGAGAAGGGGCTGAGAACAAGGAAACGTTAAGCTGGATGGAGAAAACATCTTTCTCCAGAGCTGCTAAGAGGAGAGCATGGATACTTTGAAAGGACTTGACGTCTCTCTACAGACAGAGCTAGGAATGAAGGGGAATAGGCTGGTAGACAAGTTACTTTCGTAAGTAACTACTGCAAACCTGTCTGTACCAGATCCCCCTTTTTTCCCCAGCCATAAACTAAACTGTAATCCATATTATCAAATGTTCATCCATCATCCGACCCAAGAAACTGAATCAAACCTCAGGTCGGAAGCTCGCAGGGCCCAAGCCAGCTAGCTTAAAATAACCCGAGCACATCCTCAGCTGCGGTGCGGATACAGCAGTTAGTACGGGATCAAGTCTGAAACTGTAAGGCGACTCTGTAAGGCTGGGGAAGGAGCACGGAGTTAATACCAAGCCAGTGGAGACAACGATATTCCTCACCTGACTGTCCTGGTGGTGGTATACCCCCAAGTCCTCGAGGCAACCTCACGAATACAGAGAGAACGGCTGCTTTGTTCCCAAAGCAGGGCTCCAGCGCTATCGGCTTTGGTACAGTCTGCAGCAAGGGAAGGAAGAGGAGAAAACAAATGTTATACGGTGTGTTACACCCTCCCTCTTCCCCCAGCGTCATCTTTTTCAGATCGTACAAGCTTCAGGGCACGAACCATGTTTCTGCACTTGGCAAATTTCCAGCATGTAGCTAGCAAAGCTAAAACCAATGTTAGTAACGATCAAAACCCTAGTCATCGCAAAAAAACCACATTTACTTAATAAAAATCTAGCTATTAAGAAGTCGAGCACTGCACAAGGCTTGTATTTCTCCCTAAATTCAGTAACAAAGGAGCAGCTTACGCGAAACAACAGGATTGAGGTTTTTTTCCCTTCAAATCCATCAGCAGCCTATCACAAATATCGGCACGTCTGACCACTGCGATTTGGCTGTTCAACTTCTATTTCCAGAGTTTAACTCCACATAACACCTCTGCAGCACTGTAGCATTAACACAATAAAGAACATTTACCCCCAAACCACACTCGATTTCACTGCTGCTTGCTTTAAACTGTGTTCCCCCAATTATGTCTTTCATTTCAGTTCTTTCCCAAGGGGTCGTGTTCATTTCTGAGTGGTCTTCTAGACCACTTTGGACTATGTTCTTAGGTAGCTGGCTGCTCTGGGAGCCGAAAGTGCTTTAGAAAGCCTACTGGATTGTATTGTCCTTTTTTACACCGAAAAGCAGAGGATTCAGTGGAGCAGAGGACCAGTTTGTGATCCTGGCTCTGGATCTGGTTTCAGTGACCTGTTGTATCCTAAGATGCTTAACATGCTTTACTGAAGCCCGTTTACTTTGAATACGGATATTTCACACTTACATTACAAACATGGAAATGAAATAAAGTTTTCAGATAAAAAGTGAATTGATAATTACGAAGATACAATGGGCAGCCAGCTCTCTCCCGCCCTAGGGGAGCGGCGACTGGATCCCTCGCTGACCCTCGGTGTCTTTGAACGTCACCCTCCCACTGTACTCTTGTCAAGATTTTATTTGAATGGCCAACAGCTAATTTCAATATGTCATTAGAAAGAAAAGATGCAACAGCACAGCCCAGAAACTAAAATAGGTTCTTACCTGAGCCGGGCCCCGATCCCACACAGAATTACACGCAATCAGTGTTACTGTGGGATGGCACAACAGTAAGATGAGGATGCAAGGTTACACCTATGAGTACGGGTACAAGAGAGTGCCTTCTTTTGTTCCACATAAGCAACAAAAGCTGAGAAACACTATTTTACCTGATACGCTGAGTGCTTTCTGATCTCTTGTTTAGTATGGATAAATTCTACCCTGGTATTAATGAAATAATTATTGCTTTTTCCATTAGGCATAAAATTGTACTACTGTACTTAAATGTTCAGCAGAAACTCAATACAACGCGAGACACTGAAAAAACTGGAGTCAAACAGCTATTGAATTATTGCTGCTCAATAAAGAAGAAAAAAAAGAGATGACAGCAAGCAAAATGAAACTTAAAACTGTTTTCATATCTCATATTTACTGTAATGATTGCAACAACAATTTGTTAGTCTGTGCAAGGTAGATAAATACGTATTCTACAGGCTATAACGACGTAAGCTGCTGTCTGCCTGGTTTATGACTGCAGATTTCTTCATCTTCTCCCCACCCCCAACAAAGGGATCAAACTCAAAATAATGCTTTTCCCACAAAGCAACCAAGCATACCGTGGTGCTATATCCCAGAGGCGACTCAATTACCAGAGGTAATGGAGAGAGCACAGAGAAGGCAACTGCAGAAATACAGCCCGCAGACGTCTGGCGTACGAATGGGAGCACGCACCGAACACAAAGTTTATTTTCTTTTGGAGCGAGCCAAGTACCTTACTCCACTGCTAATAAAACAGCCCTGCTGAGTCCCGGAGGCTGGAGCGCGGCGCTTGGGTGTTGCAGCGAGAACTCACGCTCGTCCTCGGCGTGGGGCAGAGTGAGCAGCAAAGATGAAGTAGCGGGAGGAAGAGGAGGATGAGAACAGACTTTTTAGCAGGGCCTGTTGCGGTAGGACAAGGGACAATTGTTTTAAACTAAAAGAGGGTAGACTCAGAGTAGATACAAGGAAGAAATGGTTTACAAAGAGGATAGTGAAACCCTGGCACAGGTTGCCCAGAGAGGTGGTCGATGCCCCATCCCTGGAATAATTCCAGGTCAGGCTGGACGGGGCTCGGAGCAACCTGATCGAGTTGAAGATGTCCCTGCTCATGGCAGGGGGGTTGGACTAGGTGACCTTTAAAGGTCCCTTCCAACCCAAACCATCCTCTGATTCTAATCAAAACGCTTCTGCAACTCTGTTCTTTCCCCAACATATAAATCGTTCGGTACAACTCTAACATGCTTTGTAATGTCATGGGGATGCTCAGCAGCACACTCATCATCCTCCCGCCAATATGCAGAAACAGGAGGCTGGAAAATACTTCTCACGGTCACCGAATCCAGCCCTTCACTAATGCAGGTGACTGCACATAAAAGTGCAATGCTCTGCTTTAAAAGCAGTTAGACTTTCAGCCTGTGCCATCACCTCCATGAGACCTCTCCAGAGGCTCCCTGCTCCTGGATCTCACCCCTCTGACACCAGAAACTTTCTTCTAACCTCAATTCTTTCCCACCTGAATTTATTCATCCATCTGACATTCTTCTATGCCTTAACCCTCTCCCTGGGCTTTACCCTACTGTAGAGCTCTGCCTTCGTTTGGCTCATCTGAACGAGCAGCGCTCTGAATTTCTTCTCTGAACACCAACACTCCCTTCCCCAGCTCTCCCAACAGTCCTTCTCTGCACCTCATCTACTGCTCTGGACCACGGCTGGGTGACCCCCGTTGCATTTTAGGCTCCGTAATGGTATCAAACCCACCCTGATTCTCCTGCACGTCATAAAATGGTACGGAAGAAAAGTTCATTATACAGCTCTCAGTCACAGAGCTGAAGGGACCCTGCGGGTATTTTAGCTCATCCCTCAGCCCCAAGCAGGACCCTTCCTCCTCCTCTGCCCTTTCCAACTAATGAACCCTGAGCGTGCAGCAGAAATTCTCATTACGAGTCCCTTTGGGTACAATCTTTCCCTTTCCACGGGATTTTTATTTTGTTCCTCAAGGTCACACGTCTTCCTCCTCTCTGCTCTCCTGTTCCCACTCCGAACCACGAGGAGCTCCTACGCAGACGTCGCTGGTGCTGAAAGAGCCCAAAACAGGCAGCCGGTGCTGTCCCCCAGCGAGTGACAGCAGACCCCGGCCACGCCGATACCTAAAATTCAGTGTTACTTCACAGGGATGAGTCCAACCCCCATGCTGCAGTGAATTTTTAATCTACCTGATGTACCACGGATAGTTGAGGGCAGGGGACATACCTCTGAGCCTCCTTCCTTCCCTCGTCAACCTGCTCAGAAAAGCTGAGCGTTAGTAAAAAATTATTAATATTTCATCGCATAGGGAACTTTGTTTCTGTTAACCACGCAAAGCAAGGAAGTATACTTTCTATAATGATGCATGCAAAATCTGTCAGGCAGTTGCAAGCTAATTTGGAAGGAATTAAGCACAAGATCATCTCGCTGCACCTAATCTCAATCTTAAATCGAAAAGGGGAAAAAATGGTCTACTGTCCATCAAAACCAGCCATTTTCCTGAGACAAGCTGCAGTTAATAACAGCAAAAACCAGCATAAAGAATCAAGTCCTGCAAATTTATTTTTGACAGCACCAGTTCAGGCACCTGCTTTTTGAACTGTGACTCATACAGCATCTCATCTCCAAGCGTGTGCTCGCCAGGCCAAGAGACAAAGCGCAGCCTGATGAAATGACTCACACGCCGAGTGACGGGAATGTTGAATTTGATGCAAGCAAGAGGTCAGCTGGGAGTGAAGGGCATACCGTGCCCTCTGCGAGATATAGAGCAACCCAGCAGTGGAGCCGGGGGACCGTATTCTGCAGACACGGAGGAAAATACATGCGTAATTCAACCAGCAACTTAATGGCTATCTTGATTGCGGATCTCACCCACGGCTGACCTCGCCGTGAGCCTGCTCGTGTTTTGACGTGACCTACGTAGGTGCTACCACGGCGCAAAGCAGCTAAGGAGAAGCTGGCTGCCTTCATCAAGTTGAATTTTCGTGGGGAGACCCAAGAAGAGCTCACGTCTCCTTTCCTTCCCGACGTCTGCAGCACATCTGCCTCCTGCGTGGTTTCTGAATGCTCTTGTTGCAGATCCAAGCTGTTTTTCTGCAGGAAGGTTTGGAGTGGACTTGGGAACCAGAGATCAGGTCATTCTAAATGCTTGTGCTTCAGTCTGACAGGTGGCTTTTAGTGGCCCACTTAAAAAAAAAAAATCCCATAAAATTTGTAGATCTCCAAACTTTGTAACACCTTTCATCAGATGGTTAAAACGAGCCTCTGCCAGAGACTTTTATTTAGAGTGTTTTGATAAACCCATTGTTGAATTATAGAAGCAATTCCTTTTTATTGAAGGCTTAATGGCACAATAAAGTAGACATTATTCAAATCTATGCAAATAAGGTGCATCCCTCAGACACTTGGCACATGATGACTGCTTTGAGCGGTGCCTGAACAGCAGAGTCCCACACCGGGAGGGGGGCACAGAGGGGAGAGCAGAGCCCAGCTGCTGGAGCAGGCGGACAAAGACCACGGTTAATGGGAGAAGAAGATCTCACCTTTGGTGGTGGGTCAATCCGTACATGCCAAATTGCCATCCAACAGCCCATCAGAAACGAGCCGTGCGCTCGACTCGCGAAACACAGAGCACGCGTGCACCCAGCCAACGCGTACGGACGCAGTAAGAAAGGTGTAGCCAGAAAACTATCTTCCTTCTGGTTGTAACCAGGATGGAGGTCAGCGAAGGGGATGCTCTTCTGCTGCCCGGGATGTATCTGTGCTATGAACAGACAACTGCAGCTGGTCCACCCGTCAGGCACGCTTCCCTAAAGCTACTTCTTGTCATCAAAGAAATATTGTGAGTGAGCTGGAGGGACAATTTCACGCAG